TTCTTCTCTCCAGGAGGTTGGAAATGTCATTAAGACGTCGTGATGTTGAGCAGTGGATGGAGCATCGTCGCTTACCAGAGAGTTTAAGAAGGTGCGGTTACTTTATCACTTCTAATAATTGAGGGAAGTTATACGAGTCCTGTTGCGATAACTTCCTCGTCTTAATTAAATTATACAGTTTCCTATGTGGTCTTGTGGTCAATTAAGTTTCTACAACACGTACTTAAATTTAAAATTTTAGAGTTGGAATCTTGTTAATTTTTTACTATTTATATTCTGTTTTCTATAACTCTTTATAGGGTAGAATTTGAACTTACAACTTTAAAGAAAATAGTAGATATTTTAACAGATGAGCTATGCTTATATTGACATTTTTTATGTCTATTTTAGTTATGTTGGGGTTACTGTGAGCATAAATGCTGTAACCAAACCTTAATTTTCCTTTGTTTTTCTCTTAAAATCTCTAGCCAAGATTCTGTTTCTCACTCTACTTCACGTTATTTGTGTACTTTGCTACTCTCGCCGACACTAGAATTCTTTTCTTCCAGTGCACAGTTGCAACCTATTTTCTGAAGATATAGAGGCTATTTGGTAGTTTTTTTTAAACATATTTTTCTGTTTTTTAGAATAGAACTTCGGGGAAAAACATTTTCTCTTATTTCATTTTAGGTTTATTTTTATGGATAACCCGTTTTCTTCAAGGATAATTGGAAATTGTTCATCATTTAAAATATATATCTACATAGGATGTGGCTAATGAACTAATGATCTCAAGCGGACCATTTTGCCTTAACATTCAAAATCACTTGGTTATCGTTCTTAAAAATAGTTTTGAAAACAAAAAAGGAAGAGTGCTTTGAAACAGTTTCCGTACAATATTGTTTTTCTTGACCGTATGTGGACTATAAAGAATTACCTACCAAAATTTGAAAAAGTTAGATGTGTGGAATATCAATTTTGAAGAAAATTTGACTATTCAATCTTTGAGTGAATTCATTATACATTTTTTAACATGTCAAATTTATTCTTATCCTGACTGAAAAAGTTGGCACTTCATCGTTAAGTTATGATCCTGCATATCCTAGCAATTGTTTCAAATGACCCTTATTGTTTCCCTTTGTATAGGAAAGTACGACAGGCTGAAAGGTACAATTGGGCTTCTACAAGAGGCGTAAATGAAGAGAGGATTTTCGAAAATTTGCCTGAGGACCTACAAAGAAACATAAGACGACATCTCTTTAGATTTGTCAACAAGGTGGGTAATTTTATTTTTACTGATAGCAAAAATATAGTAATATTATGTTTTACACTCAAATGCTACTCCACATGTTGCATATTTGTTGTCTGTCGGAAATTCAATGACACTAAGCTTAGTAATATTATAACAGACTGTGGATTTGAACTGATGTGACAACATTTTGAAAATTTGGCTCAGGTTCGCATTTTTGCACTGATGGACTATGAACCTATTTTAGATGCAATACGTGAGAGACTGCGACAAAGGACATACATAGAAGGAAGTGAGGTTTTTACTGCTGGAGATATCATTGAGAAGATGGTTTTCATTGTACGGGGGAAAATGGAGAGCCGTGTAGATGGGAACGGGATTGTGGTTCCCTTATCTGAAGGAGATGTCTGCGGCGAGGAACTTCTAACATGGTGTCTTGAGCATTCCTCCATAAACAGAGGTACTTGTACTCTCAATTCGTGTTCTACGCTTGCATTGGTGGGTTTGTTCTCATGGTTCTCAACTTTCAGTTGCTTCATTATAAGATGTCTACAATCGAGTGCGATAGGCCCAGTTTTACCATATATGATCTTATTACAGATATGAAGCGACATCAAATTCCAGCACAAAAATTGGTCAGCAACCGGACAGTAAAATGCTCGACGAATGTTGAAGCATTTTCTCTCCGGGCTGCAGACCTTGAAGAAGTGACCAGTATGTTTTCTAGATTCCTGCGAAACCCACGTGTTCAAGGAGCCATAAGGTAATCTTTATAAACGTCGGACGTCGGAAGTTTTTTGAGTTCCTACTTTTAGTATCTCATTTCTGTTTGGAATTCCTAAAATAAAAAAAAAAATAGTTCCCTTCCAGTTATCTTGCCTCAGAAGAGAATTCCCTGTTTATTTGTGCAATTACTTTTCTATCTAAAGGTTAACCATAGGCTCTGCTTTCTATTCAAACGTTTAAAGCCTCAAAAAACCTTAATATGGAAAATCTCTACGACAGCGAGCTCAAATTTTCATGTGACTTACTTCAAATGTGAACATCCCCTAATCTGTAAGGCAGTGTATGTTTAAGAAGTCGGCCTTATTCACAAATGCAGTATTGAATGACAAATTGTCTGCTGATCGTACGAACTAACACACATACAATTTGTGGCAGGTATGAATCACCCTACTGGAGGTACCTAGCAGCAACGCGTATTCAAGTAGCTTGGAGGTACAGGAAAAGGCGTCTATCTCGAGCTCAAACCTCCCACTCTAACTACTAATTCCTCAAGGGAGGCATTCTTTTTTGGGGAAAGAAAAGGTAATTGCCTTGTACATCCATCAGCCTGAGTTCCTATCGCTGTTAGTCCCTATTATTAGTTTTTGGTTAACCTTGTCCTTTCATTGATAATAATAAATATATATTCACATTGTATCATTTATTGATTTAAGTTAGTATTATAATCTCATTGAATTCAATAAATTTTTTTGAAGTTTTTATTCTTTTTTAAAATATATATTTATCTTATGCCAGTTCTGTAAATGCATGAAAAGTAGAGTAGATTTTATTTATGAAGGAAAAAATTAGGCTGATTGTAGTGATGGAATATTTGGTACTGAAACTTGGTAGTAACGGAGGAGGTTGTGGAGCTAAAATTAAGATTTTATTGAATTGATGAATGTAATTTGGTTTGTAAAAATATTTTTAAAAAGTAGCAAATAAAATAATTTTTTTTTTTAAAATATAAAATTGGACCATTATAAGCTTAGTTTTTAAAAATAGAAAACAACAATAAATTTCAAAAGTATCCATGAAAAAATATTAAAAAAGCCACATCCAAAAATAAGCACATATATAGGAGTTAGTGGTAATGGTACTTATAAAATAAAACAATAATAATAATAAGCTACTTTAATTTCTTTATTAATATATATGATTTTTTTTTATTTATTTAATAAGCTTCATAACTATCCATTAATTGTATTGTACAAAAGTAATAATAATAATAATAATAAATCCATTAATTGTAGTTGCAAGCTCTAATTATATTGAAGCATTAAAAAAATGGGTGTTAAATGAAAATGAATTGGTAAGCATCTCAATTTGGAAGAAGGTTATTGAGGTGAGGCAATTCCTCATCTTCATTCCTATTACCCTCATTGCAAGGGAATTCAACTAAAACAACATTTATTTTTATTTAATTATTCCTATAATTTTTTAAATATTTTTCATTTCCATATCAATATTAATTAATATGTTGTAATAATTACTCTACGCACATTAAAGGAAACTACATTTAAATCCTCACTAAAGATACATAATCATATATTTTAATTACAAAAATATATATATATATATTCAAATGAGGATAGAATCCAATCCATTTGGACTATCCAATTCAGATCATAAAAATTTAATTTTTGATCAGTTTACAAATCAACAATTTCTTTTTTTTTTTTTGTAAGTACTATCATATTTTTAAATTTATTATGCAAATTAAAAAAAAAAAAAAAACAACTCAACTCAAAATAAAAGATTGGGTTGTTTTCTTTTAAGTAATTAATATTTTATTTTTTAATCTAGTTTTTATTATTATATAAAATCTTTAACTAGTAAATCTTATTTATATATATAACCTATTTTTTAATATTTTGATTTATTTATTGTTTGCTGTACTATTCTACCTGTAGTTCCCATTAATTACTTGATACCTAACTATTTTTATGTTGACATATATTAAATACATAAATAAATAAATATTAATACATTTCAAAAGGCAAAGTAGATTTTTTTAATTGCATGGGTAAATTTCAACCTTTCCAATCAATTGAAATCATAATTATTCTTTTAAAGTTTTTAAAAATACTTTCTTAATATTTTTAAAATAATTTTTTAAAAATTAAAAAAATTAAAATTATATTTTTGTTTACAAATGATCAATTTTGTTGATAAAAAAAGAAAAGAAAAGAAAGAAAAAAGAGAGAAAAACCCGAAAATAATTTATTTATTTGCATGTGTCCAGCCAAAATATAATTACAAGTAGACGAGGAAGGGGACCAATCGAGTGCATCATGCACACACACCACTCCAGTGGGACCAAATTGTTCTTTTATCTTAAGAATTTTAATTTCCTTTCAAGTTTTTGTTTTTAAGCTGAAAATTTTAAATTAAACCATAATTTACATGATTGAGAAAATATGAGGTTTGAATCAATATTTTATGTTATGTATTGAAACTCTACACACGGCCTTTGGTCAAACTCCCAACCTCTATTTCCTTTCTCTGGAAGAAAAAGTCTTAAACTCTACCCGACTCTCTTAATTACCCTATAAGCTTATAGTAAAAGGACTAAAGAAGAAATCTTTATATATTTTTATATTTATATAAACACAAATTAATTGAATGAGAAATAAGAAAATGTGAGAGAGGAAAGGGAAGAACACAACCGGCTCGCCATCCCCACGTGTTATAAATGTAGGGACCAAACCCAGATTGGTCCACTCCGCACCACCTACAACAATATCTAATAACTTCGATCCACTCCCAAAATTTTTAATTTCTTTTTACTAATAATTATAATAATTAGATGGGATTTTATGATTGGGTTTGAGGAGAAAAATGTTGAAAGTTGGGGAGTTTGATGGGGTAATTGGGTCCATCATGGAGAGCTGAGAAAAAGGAGGATGGCCGCCGGAAAGTGTGAAATGATGGGCGGTTGACGGCGGAGACAGGGGGGGGTGAGTGAGACATTAATACGAAGGGGGTTTCCATAATAATGGTGCGCACCTGGGGTGGGCGTCAATATATAATGCCATTCTATTCCCTTCTTTGTTCCTTTCCCCATTCCCATTTTCTAAATTCAGAGCAACTCCCCGGAACTATGAGTTTCCTCCCTCCCTCCAATGGGAATGGCAACCGGAATGGGACTGGGAATGGGAGTGGGGATCCCCTTTACCTTACCTTACCTTCTTCTTCTCCTTCTTCTTCTTCCCTTTCAGTTACGCTTTTTTGTTGGGTTCATTGAATTCGAGAGAGAGCGATTAGGGGGCGGAGGAATGGTGGCTAACGGATCATCATCATCATCATCATCATCACCAGCGCTCACTCCGCCTTCTACGTAGCACCTCCCCCACTTTTCTCTTTAATTACGCCCCCAACATTTCATCCTATTTTCCCTTTTCTTCATCTCCGCCGTAACCGTATCACCATTTTCAGCATTTTCCTTCGTATTACACACTCAGTTTCACTCCATGCTGTTCTAATATTATTATATTCATTCTTTTCCCCCACCACACAACCATTAACCATACCCCATGGAGTTCGGGACTGGAGGCGGCGGCTCCGGTTGGGATAACGATTCCTCCTCCGACCCACAACGCCGGAAAAAATGCTACCATCGTCACACTGCCAATCAGATTCAGAGGCTCGAGGCGTAAACCCCCTTTTCTTCCTCTCTTCTTCTTCTTCTTCTTCTTCTTTCTTAGAACATAGACGTGTTGTGTCTGTTTGGGTGTTTGCTTGCTTTTGAATCGACTCTGAATTTCTCTACTGTTTGTTTGTTTGTTTGTTTGTTGGGGGAATGAAGAATGTTCAAAGAATGCCCACACCCAGACGAGAAACAGAGATTACAGTTAAGCAGAGAACTGGGATTGGCTCCTCGCCAAATCAAATTTTGGTTCCAGAATCGGAGGACCCAGATGAAGGTTTCTCCATTCCCCCGCCCCCCCCTTTCTCAACTCTCTTCATAAGATTCTTATACGTTGAATAATTGTTCAGGCTCAACATGAAAGGGCAGACAATAGTGCACTTCGGGCAGAGAACGACAAGATTCGATGCGAGAACATAGCCATCAGAGAGGCCCTCAAGAATGTCATCTGCCCCTCCTGCGGTGGCCCTCCTCTTCAGGACCCTTACTTCGACGAACACAAACTACGAATCGAAAACGCCCATTTGAAGGAAGAGGTTTTTACCCTCTTCTTTTCTTTCTCCACAAGATTATCAAACAAGAACTGAATTGATGATGTATACTATGTTAATTTTTGGCAGCTTGATAGAGTATCTAGCATTGCGGCCAAGTTCATTGGGAGGCCAATCTCTCAGCTTCCACCCATTCACCCACCTCACTTTTCCTCATTAGACCTATCCATGGCTAGTTTTCCCTCCCAAGAAATTGGCTGCCCTTCTCTTGATCTTGATTTACTTCCTGCAAGTTCTACAAGTGTTCCCACTTTGCCATACCACCACCCAATTCACCTCTCCGCCGTGGATAAGTCCCTCATGACTGAAATTGCCACAAATGCCATGGCGGAGTTGCTCAGGCTTTCCCAAACTAATGAGCCATTCTGGATCAAATCAACAAATGATGGACGCGACGTTCTCGACCTCGAAACCTATGAACAGGCTTTTCCAAGACCCAACTCTCCCTTCAAGAATCCCCATTTTCGCACAGAAGCAACTAGAGATTCAGGCGTCGTGATCATGAATAGTGAAGCATTGGTTGATATGTTTATGGACTTGGTATGGCTACGAAACTCTCCCTCCCTCTTTGCACGTCGTCGTATCTTAATCGTTACAACAATTGAATTGAAGTTACTGAATTGTGTGTGCAGAACAAATGGACAGAATTATTTCCCACAATTGTGTCGATTGCAAGAACAATCGAAGTTATATCGTCTGGATTGTTGGGAACTCAGAATGGCTCGTTGCAACTGGTATATAGCTAGCTAGATGAACTCTTCCAATCTCAATTTACTTTTCAGTTTCCTAATTTTTGAGTCCAAAGTGTTTGAATTGCAGATGTACCAAGAACTGCAGCTACTCTCCCCATTGGTTTCGACTCGTCATTTTTACATCCTCAGATTTTGTCAACAAATCGAGCACGGCACGTGGGCCGTGGTTGATGTTTCCTACAACATCCCCAGAGAAAATCAAGTAGTTTCTCATTCTCAATGTCACCGCCTTCCCTCTGGCTGCTTGATCCAGGACATGCCTAACGGTTACTCCAAGGTTTTGCCACTTGTTTTGTGTTTTTCATTTATCTTTATAGTTCAAACTTCATACTTCATGTTCCCAAGTTTCTTCTCATTGGACAATGCTCACCAAAAACAGGTTACTTGGATTGAGCATGTGGAGGTGGAAGATAGAGGCTCCTCTCATTGGCTTTGTAGAGATCTTATTCATAGTGGATTAGCCTTTGGTGCTGAACGTTGGCTTGCAACTCTTCAGCGGATGTCTGAAAGGCTTGCCTGTTTAATGATGACTGGTAGTTCCAATCAGGATCTCGGCGGAGGTAACTTCAATGTGTTTACGATCAAGTAGTACTTAGTTTTTTGTTACTATGTGCTAAAGGATTGTTTTTCTCTCTCAGTAATTCCTTCTTCAGAAGGGAAAAGAAGCATGATGAAACTAGCACAACGAATGGTGAACAATTTCTGTGCCAGTATCAGCTCATCTCATGGCCACCGTTGGACCACCCTTTCTGGGATGAATGAGGTTGGTGTTCGTGTCACGGTGCATAAAAGCATGGATCCTGGCCAGCCGAACGGCGTGGTTCTTAGTGCAGCTACAACCATATGGCTCTCAGTATCTCCTCAAACCATCTTTAACTTCTTTAAGAACGACAGAACCAGATCCCAGGTATTAAAATGTGAATCAAAATTTCAGAGTGGTCCAGCACTCTATATGACAATGAGTTTATTAACCGTGAGCTGAATGGTGCTGCATGCAGTGGGATGTTCTGTCGGATGGCAACCCGGTCCAGGAGGTTGCTCATATAACCAACGGATCCCATCCAGGGAATGCCATATCTGTTCTCAGAGTGAGGCTTGTGTTGTTTTACTTATTTTTCCATGTCCGAAGCTTTACTTGGAAGGGTTTAGTTATGTTGTTTTATGTTTGAATAGGCTTTCAATACAAGTCAGAATAACATGTTGATACTCCAAGAGAGTTGCATAGACTCATCAGGGTCACTTGTTGTGTACTGCCCTGTGGATCTACCAGCCATGAATGTTGTAATGAGTGGGGAGGACCCATCAAGTATTCCCTTACTACCTTCAGGATTCACAATTCTACCAGACGGTCGACGGGACCAAGGAGAGGGCACATCGAGCAGCCTCGATGTCCACAGCAGGTCAGGTGGCTCACTGTTGACCGTGGCGTTTCAGATACTCGTAAGCAGCTTGCCATCAGGAAAGCTGAACTTAGAGTCAGTAACAACGGTTAATAACCTCATCAGCACCACCCTCCACCAGATCAAAACAGCCTTAAATTGTCATAGTTCCTGAGGAGAAGAAGAGGAAGAGAGGGTTTATCAACAGTTAAACATGATGTCCTTTTTTGTTTGTTTGTTTTTTTTTTCTTTTGGTTTCTGGAGCTCTGCTACACACAACTGTTTGAGTCTTACATAACATTAATACATTGATGATGAGATGTGGGAGTGTTTGTGGTGTCCAAAATTGAATCTGGGCGTTAGTTGGGAGCTTTGAATGAGCTGAACCATTATTTACTGCTGCTGCTGCTGCTGCTGCCTGCCTCCTGCTGCTGCTGCCGCCAAAGCAAAGCTGCTGCCTTTCCACTCCCATTTTACACCCAATATTGTTGTTGTTGTTGTGGTGGTCATTAATTTGTTTAGCTTAGTGTAGTTCAGTTGTTCTTGGGGGGTTGAGGCTGATGAACTCATGTCATGTGATGTCATGTCCATTACTACTACTACCCTCACCAGCTCAAGAGTCCACTGAGAGAGTCAAGAGCGCACCATATCCGTTCATTCCACCTCTGAACCCGAATCTCCAAACTTCGTATGGTTCGGGCATTGACTCACTCTCAAGTATTTCTTTTGAATGGCTCGTTGTTTTACGGTCTGAATTCTGAACCTGTTTGTGGTTTAACTACTTAATGATTATTCTCAATAATGTTATCCTTAATTTAATGCCTTTTATTTTCCCTCTTAGAAAATAGCTCCCCCTACACTCTGACACATTTCAGGATACAGAAAACTTAAAAGATTCAATAATTTATTATCCTACGAGAGAGAGAGTTGGATGATGCGGAGAGTGTGAGCAATAAGTTTCACTCAATAATTCATTTTCATTGCGCAAAGAGATGCATTATTTGTGTGTTCTTTTACTAATTTAATGCATTATATTTGAGGATATCTAAAATAATGATAATAAATAAATGAGTTAAAAAAAAAAATGAAGAAAATGTTAAATAGATCACTTAATTGATATTAATTGCAACTCAAAGTTAAGGAACCATTGGATAATTATTGAACCACTTTGCTTCACAAGAAGGAAAATTTTATTTATGTCTTGTAATTTCTTGGGAGGGAAAGCCCAAAAATAATTTTCTATATTTTTATATTAAAAAAAGCCCAAATTTATGTGTGTGTCCTGCATACATTATAAGGTGTAAATGAATCTGAAGCAATAATAATAACAACAACATAAATGCAAGCCATTTAATATTTAATTGTAATCCATGTTTAAGTTTGATCAAATTGGGACATATGAGTACGTCCTTTCCTTCCAATAAAACATAAAAATATAAAAATATTAATAAACATGTCTCAATTTTTTTCAAGTGACTAACGTGTTTTTGTGTTTTTGTTTACATATAATTTATTTATCTTTTTCAAAATGGTTTCATAATTTAATTTGGGACAAGCTAAACTTGACTAAACTACAAATTAATAGCCATTTTTAATGAAGAATCATAGATCCTAAGTTTAGGATAGATGACACGTTTTTGTAGACCGACTTTATGGGCGACATTAACTCGACAAAATAATTGCTAAACTCTTCAAACAAAAAAGTGCTTTTTGGTTTTGTTTGATATTTATTTACCCGGGATAGTCTCTTAGTTAGAAGTCTATTAGGATGTGTCTCTTACGTGGAATGAACTCTGTGAGATTGCACATCGATTCAAGAGTTGAACAAAACATTCTATTAGAAGCCGTGAGGTTGACGACGATACGTAACGGGTAAAAGTGAACAATATCTATTAGTAGTGGACTTGTACAAAAAAAAAACGCTTTATGTTTCTCCTTTAGCATATTTATGGCATCCTATTTGGCTTAGATAGGAAAACAAATTAATTTTTGCATACATAAATAAAGGAAGATATATGTGTATTATTATTATTAGTGTGAGAAGTTCAGGTAATTAGTAAAATAAATACGAATTATTAGCATATGTTAGTATTTTATAAGTGAAGCCACCTTTCATGATTTATTGATTTCTGTATCCCTTTTGAAGGATTAATAAATTGACCAATTTTAGTGGGTCAATCGTCTCTTTCCAATTATTTCTTCATTTTAATCCAACTTGAAATTATAATAATAATAATAATAATAAATCATAGCATATCTTAATCACATCTTTGATATTATTTTTGGTTGGCATTTGACATTATTAATTTAAGTGATATTTAACCTACTACTTAATTTATTATTATGAAACCTTCTTTAAATCTTAATTAAAAAATAAAAAATTTATAAATCTAATATAAATTTAAGGGATTAATTTGAAATTTTGTGAAATATACACGAGATTTTCAATAATTTATTTGATACAAAATATTAATATGTATTTACATAATTACAAATATTTGGACATTAGAAATGTTTATATAGTGACTTTGTAGGTCACTAGTTACACCGACACTGTAATCACTGTGTTGTGTTTGAGAAGCAAAAGGAAATTGAAATTGATTGGAATGCTTAAGATTAAATAATGGTTGAAATTTGATTATTAGGTAAGGAAGTTGATGGAACTTATGATGATAATTTAGGGAAGTATGAACTAATGAAAGGCCACCTCAAATGTTGTGTCTACCAACCTCATCATATATATTCTTCTCCTTTCTCCTTCCTAAATTCTTTTCCACACCCTAACAGACGCGTTTTAAAACTATGAACCTAGCAACGATACATAACAAGCCAAATCGGACAATATCTGCTAGCAGTGGACTTAGACTGTTACAGTTTCGTTCAACTAAGCTTTATCTGTTGGACTATGGCTAATCGATCACCTGTTCGAGTAGTTGTAGTTGTTGATATGATGGAAGAGAATGCTAAAAGATTCATTCGCCCTTTGTTTTTTCTTATCTCGTTTATGAATTTATATGCTTCTATAGCCTAGCCATTCGATACCAACTCCCCGTCTAAAGAACGAATAAATAAATCATAATAGTTTTCAAAAGATGGTCAATCCTTATGAGACCCCACATCGGTTGAAGAAGGGAACGAAACATTGCTTATAAGGGTGTGAAAACTTCTTCCTAGTAGACACGTTTTAAAACTGTGAAGCTGACGGCGATACGTAACGGGCTGTAAAATCCTTATTCTTTTGGTAGAGAAAAGAAGGCTTGAACTACTCAGTCTTTGCAAATTTTGTTGTTATTCAGTAGTTGAGCTATCCATTTAACCAAATTTTGAAAAGCATCATCAAAGGCTTAACCACCTAAACTTTCCCAACTCCTCTAATATATACACCTCAACATCCACGCAGGAAGATACCCATTTCATGATTCACCTTTCTGAATGCAGAAACCTCTAGCAATTGAAATGGGAAAGACAGGCACAGGCAGCATCATCAGAACATCAATCTTCTGTTTCCTGCAGAAATATCAGTACTTCACCTCTACCTCAGCCTTGTTTGTCTTCCCTTTCTCAGTTGCCCTTCTTCTCTCACAAACCTTTGCCTTTACTTCTTCCATTTATTTCCTTCCAAACATACACTATCGCTTGAGGCTTCTTTTTGATGCTGCAGGCTTCCCTCCTTCCCTTGAATTCTTCTCCATTTTCACTCTCAAGCTTTCCCAAGCCATATTTTCTTCCATCTTCGCTCTTCCTTTCACTCTCACCTTCCTTCTTATTGCAAAAGCCTCGGTGATTCAAGCTCTAAAGGAGACCAAACCAACAGCCCACCCCTCCTTTTCCTCTATCAGAACCCTTTACAGCCCACTTCTGTTCACCCATATTTGCAGCTCACTCCTCATACACTCAGCAAATGCAACAGTCTTTTCAATTCTTTGCTTTGCTTTCAGTTTCCTTGATGGGTTTGGCTTGTCTTCTTCCACCAGCTCTACCTTCCTCTCAGCCGCTGGAGCTGTCCTGTATTCCATAGTTCTGGCAAACACTTGGGTTATCAGTAACTTAGCATTGGTTTTGTCAGGCATGGAAAGGCTTGGTGGTTATCTACCAATACTCAAAGCTTGTGTTTTGATTAGAGGGAAAACTTCCACAGCATTGCTTTTGGCTCTGCCTGCAAATTTAGCCATGGCTGCTATTGAAGCCTTGTTCCAGTACCGTGTAGTAAGAGCTTATAATGGTGTTGGAAGGCTAAACCTTTCCATGTTGTCAGAAGGGATTGTTATTGCATATCTGTACTCCATTTTAATCGTCCTTGACACGACGATTAGTTGTCTGTTCTTCAAGAGTTGTAAGACGGTTTACTGGGTGGATCTGGAAGGAAGACAGGCTCTTCAAATACACTCTGGAGAGGTAGACAGTGTTGGTTACATGGATTCATAGGTTCTACGGGAACAGAACCTGCATTCAACAACTTGTGGATCATCCATCCAACAGGACAATCTGCAGGAAAAAAGTATATAGAACTCAGTTAAAGAATCATAAGAAGAACCCCAGGAAATCATTCAATAAGAAACTATACAGATAAGCATCCACAGTAGAATCAAAGATCCAGGAGAATAAAGCATGTGAAAATTTGAAATTGTTCCTTTAGTTCTTTCTGTTCAGTGTTCGAATTGTAGATAACCGACCGTTACATTGTGGTAGAATATACAGACCTCCAGTTATCAGTAGCTTGATTGAAAAAATAAAACTCAACAGTTTGCAGTCTAGTTTAGCAGCCTTAAAAAGCCTGCTTCAAATCTTCAAATACTTCTTTTGAACATCTATGATTCTTCCTTCGAATACGAATGTTTTTTATTGCCCACTTAAGATTTGAGCATTATGTGGAAAAAGCAACGCTTGTTGCAAGCAAAAGTTGACGAACCCAGATGGAAAATGCATACAAAACAAAGCCCTGATCTGGTACAGATGTTCGCTCGAGAGTAGATGGCAGCTATGGCTAAAATTGACTGGTGGGTTGAAAATGTTGTAAATGATTTAATGATTCTTATTTATAGAGCTATACAACATCGTTAAAGGATAGAAATTCAGAAACTTATGTTACATAATTGGTAAAGTCCAGAAATATGAAGAGGGAGAGAGCTTTGTACAGATAGTTATGGCTGGTGGATGTAAGATTGAGAGTCTGGCTGGTTCATAGACGCCGGCTCAGTTGTGAAGCTATTCAAATTCTCAACTTGAATGCCTCATCCGACAAAACTAATGCAGAGGGTCTGCTCCAGTTTTACTTCAAGATTATGAAAATTGAAGCAGATTGTGTTGGTTTGGAGGAAATTCAGAGTCATAATTGAATTGTCCATTAGTGTTGGCAAACCTTCTGGGAGGCTAAAGTTTCTACCAGCTCCAAACTCAGTTTTGTATCGATCTTGTTAGATTTTCTCAGCTTTCTCATCTCCATTTCTAACTGCTTGCTATTCTCTTCATGTGCTTTCAGAAAGGATCTTGTAAAATGGAACAGAGTTCCTGTAACTGCGTTGAATTGAACACATGGAATCAATTTGAGATTAGTAACCTAGGTTTTACAGGAGGAATGATGGAACTGCATTACATCCTTCCATATAACAAATCCCTTCCACAATCTGAGTTAAATACATACTATAATATATATTACTCCTCAAACCCACCACTAGCATATATTATCCGCTTTCGCCCGTTACGTATTGCCATTAGCCTCACGGTTTTTACTAGGGAGAGGTTTCCACACCCTTATAAGGAATGCTTCGTTCCCCTCTCCAACCGAGACGGGATCTCACAATCTACCCCCTTGGGGACCCAGCGTCCTCATTGACACACCGCCCGGTATCTGGCTCTGATACCATTTGTAACAGCTCATGCAAGCCCACCGCTAACAGATATTGTTCGTTTTGGCCCGTTATGTATTGCTGTTAGTCTCATGGTTTAAAACGTGTCTACTATAGAGAGAAGGTCTAGCCCTACTCCGACCAGTGTCTCGCACCGTCTGGTGACTGGCTCTGATACCATTTGTAATAGCTCAAGCCCACTACTAGCAGATATTGTCCGTTTTGACCCATTACGTATCGTTGTCAGTCTCCGGTTTTATAACGCGTCTACTAGCGAGAGGTTTCACACCCTTATAAGGAATGTTTTGTTTCTCTCTCCCCCGACATGGGATCTCATATCACTCATGAAAAAAACTTACTGAACAGAACTGCAGACGTTACAGTTATGACCCCACAACAATGAACAAAAAAAAAAGTCGAGATTAACTAACCTTGTTCAAATGGACAACGGGAAGGATCCTCGCCAAAATATAGAGCAAGTGCATCAGCATTTCTACCCTGCAACCATGCAGTGGTCTCCTTTATTTCACAATAACTTCAAACTTCATTCCAACATAAAAGATCTAGTTTAGAAGATTACCACGACCGAGTAAAGAACGGTCACAGATTTGACCTCCATCTCGGCAAGACTAACAAATCCTTTCAATATCTAAAAATACAAGATAATAAATTTAATCCACTCAAAAGTGTCCACAGTGACTATGAGGGGTGGGGAAGGAAGAAAGAAGTGGCACCTTACGAAAATTTTGAGAGATGGGGCCATCACTTTCCGAAGCAACTAGTTCCCGCTTCACCTTTTCCAATCCTTTTGTTATTGCTTGCATTTCTTCTGCCAAAGATTTCAATTGTATCTGCATAGGAAGCAAGACTCCAAGTCAAATAAGTTCTTTTTTGGATCATATTGATTGCAATCAATGCCATGAAATATGTAGACCTTAGACGCAGCTTCCAAGCTACCAAGGTCCAGATGAAATTCAAGAAGTGATGGTGACTTAGAAGCAACGACCTGAGGCACATGCATAAACCAAATTTGTGATCAACCTGCCACACTCGAGAGACGTTGGGGGGAACATGAACATATCAAACTTCAATTCACAACCTATCCCTCTTTTTCTAGTAAAAACCAAAAGTTAAATTCCATAAACCCCATCTTTCACTTTTAGAGAGATTCCAGTACGTTCTATCCGTCAATCTGGGAATTTTAAAGTAAATCAGACCAGGTGAATCTACATCAACCGATAAAGTAACAACAGGAACACCTTTAAAGTTTTGCCCCATATCCTATGGACTTAATAGTTAGACTCATGATGTGAGATCCCGTTGGACAAGGGAACGAAACATTTCTTATAAAGGTGTGAAAACCTCTCTATAACAAAAGTATTTTAAAACCTTGATGGCAAACCCTTGAATGGAAAGCACAAAGAAGACAATATCTAAGGTTGGGCTTGGGTTGCTATAAATGGTATCAAAGTAAGTCAATGGACGGTGCGAGACACTGATCTAAGTAGGGTTAGACCCTCTCCATAATAGACGTGTTTTAAAATCGTGAGGCTGACCGTGATATGTAACAGGTCAAAGCAGACGATATCTACTAGCAGTGGGCTTGGGCTTGGGCTGTTACAAAGGGTATCAAAGCCCGACACCGGCGGTGTGCTAGTGAGGATGCTGGGACCCAAGGAGGTGGATTGTGAGATCCCACATCGGTTGGAGAGGGGAACGAAACATTTCTTATAAAGACGTGGAAACCTCTCCCTAGTAGACGCGTTTTAAAATCTTGAGAGGAAGCCTAGAAGTAAATGTCTTAACAAGTATAGTACCAATGTTATATGACCTCTCAACTCTCATACTTTCCAAATATTTTTCAGGATAGAAGTAACTTTCAATTTACACACACATTTATTCAATAAGATTATAACTTAATTAACAGGCAACATTTATTCTCCCACCAAATTAGAAAATCAAAAGTTAACAATAAGACAGATAACACTAGAATAGTACCTTACACAGATAATGCATGAGAGTCAACTTATTGTTAGAAGCACGTGTATCAGCGAGTTTTGAGAGACTATCCAACCTGAACCCAATTGCAGAACCTGCATCGTATGAATGGTATTGAGCCATTTGGCTGGTAAATGGTATTGAGCCTGAATTTCATGTCCATGGTATAAAGTTTCTTACCCCTAGCAGTTCCTTGGTTTAACATATTTCCCAGGCAAAGAATTCTTTTCAATATCTCCTTCAATTTGCAAGAACTCCTCACCTATTAAAAAAGTGATGTAAATTAATGGGCTCAGAGTTTACACATATCAAATGAATGGAGAAAGATATTCATTAGCCCTATCAATAGACCTCTTGACAGAAAGAGTTTACAGTGTTTAGGCTTTTTTTGAACTCTGCTATCTGCAAAGGAGGTCAAGAATAAGTATATAGAGTAAAAGAGTACGCTTACATCAAAGAAATTCTTATATGTTTCAAAACTAAAAATAGGATAAAAATGAAGAGTTGCAAATACCACAAAACCTGTGAGCTGAAGTGAATCTTGAAAGAAAATACTCTTAGCTTCGACTCCACACGAGGAACTTGCATCATCTCTAGAAAGTACTGATGTGTGGACAAATGAAAAGAAGAAAAGAAAACATGTAATTGCATTGTCTCCAAAAAGTGCTGATGGTTTATATATAAAAGATTAAGAAAACAGAAACATCTGTTCAAAACGGCATTCATGTCACATGCAAAAAATCAAAGAACTCATTTAGTCAAAAACTAGCAGTAAACCAAAAGATGTCTTTTTTAAGTTAGATCTTAAAGCTGGTGGCAAAGAAGAAGCCTATTTTGACCAAGATTGTAACAGTCCAAGCCCACCACTAGCAGATATTGTCCGATTTGGCCTATTACGTATCGCCGTTAGTCTCACGGTTTTAAAACGCGTTTACTAGGGAGTGGTTTCCATACCCTTATAAGGAATGTTTTGTTCCCCTCTCTAACTGATGTGGGATCTCACAATCCATTCCCCTTGGGGACCTAGCGTTCTCATTAGCACACCGCTCGGGCTTTGATACCATTTGTAACAGCCCAAGCCCACCGCTAGTAGATATTGTCTGCTTTGGCCCATTACGTATCACCGTCAACCTCATGGTTTTAAAAGACGTCTACTAGGGAGAGGTTTCCACGTCCTTATAAGGAATGCTTCGTTCCTTTCTGCCACCGATGTGGGATCCACAAAGATACACCACGAACTTTGAATGGAAGCAAAGTCCCAGCCTTTTCCTAAGATAGAAATTGTATCTCTGTCTCAGAAGTTGTACTACATTGACATGAATTATTGCGTTATGTTCAAATAACTCAATTTTGACCTTAGCATGATAGCGATGCTTGTATTCTGTATACAAGCTAGCATCACATCAGGGAAGGAATGGTGGCTTATCCCATGGGTTAAATTTACAAGGCTACAAGTATAAAGCAATTAAATGCTACACTGCAGAAACAAAAGCTATGACCTGTTCAACAGAGCAAGTTACCTGTTCGCACTTGCCAAGTTTATCCATGTCACCAGAGTATCCCTTACGAATTTAAGCACAAATAAACCTTCAGTTAATTGATCATAAGTAAAGAGCCTCGTTTGACATACATGTAACAAGAGCAGGTTATCATTTCATGGTAAAATTAATAAAGGATAATCCAATATTATAGCACAAGATATTTCACCTTGAGAAGCTCCATCTCTTCTTTGGTGGGACAAAATTTGATAAGATTTTCCACTTGATCTACATCTAATACTGACTCATCCATGGAGAGTACTGCTGCCTATATTACATGATGAATTGACGATTATAGTAAAAAAAGTAAAATCAGCTCCATCATTATAATCTTCTAGCTCTAAAACAAAGCTTACTCACGTGAGAAATTTTTCAGTAATAATTGGAAATAAGAATGCAATACGTGAAGAAGCACAAAGGAAGCCTAATTTTGCCACCAACAGTTTGATACTGTATTTTTCAACTCCTAAATATTAGCTACCATAGTGAAAAGATGAGCTGGGATTGAAACTAAGGTTTTAGCTTTAAGACCAAACTGCAACTCTTACAATCTATCTCTCTCCCAAGAAGAAAGTGCGCAAGCATGAAAATGAAAAGGAGGATCAAACATAGCGTCGGCATGATATTAACACAATAAATTCTTGCTAATCCAAAACTGCATAAGATGAAATTACATCATGATGTTTTCTATTAAGTTTAAAGCGCTTTTTTTTTTCTTTTTTTATTCCCTTCGAAAGCTTCTCCAATTTGAGATATTAAGTCAGAGAACCTCAAGATTTTTACAAATCCAGTTCTTCATGAACCATGTGTATGGGCGAAATTAAAAAATTCCAGCATCAGAATATCGCACAATTGTAACAACCCAAGCACACTTCTAGCAGATATTGTCCGCTTTAACCTGCTACGTATCGCCGTCAGCTTCACAGCTTTAAAACGCGTATGTTAGGGAGAGGTTTCCACACCCTTATAAGGAATGTTTCATTCCCCTCTCCAACTGATGTGAGATCTCACAATCCAACCCCCTTGAGGGCCCAGCGTTCTCGCTAGCACACCACCCGGTGTTTGCCTCTGATACCATTTGTAACGGCTCAAGCATACCGCTAGCAAATATTGTCCACTTTAGCCCGTTACGAATCGCCGTCAGCTTCACGATTTTAAAACGCATCTATTAGGGAGAGGTTTTCACACCCTTATAAGAAATATTTTGTCCCCCTCTCCAACCAACGTGGGATCTCACAACAAAACACATGTTGGGAATGAAGAAAATTTTACCACCAAGAAAAATGAAACAGACAACTTACTCTAATCAATGGGAAAGCAGCAAGATGAAAAGTTCAGATCACCATTTCTTCCTAAAATCACGATTTAGTTACTTAATCTATAATATCTTCCATCCGAATTCAAATTTACATGCAGTTATGTAGTGCCAGAGCCACTCAATACCATCCTGGCATTCATAGTGCTGGCATGTTGATGAGGGAAAAATCAGTCTGCACCGAAGTAGAAATATCTAATGCAAGTATAACTTTTCTTGGCTTACCATCATGTCAGACAGTGGCATCCGAACTTTTGTTAGCATGATTTCAGTGTTATTTGCCCTCCTAAGATCAATCTGCAATTAAACATTCTCCCTAATTAGTTGCACCAACTGTAAGGAACATGATCCCATAAATATATATCACAAAGGAGGGAAAAACTTGTTTCTAGGGAGTAATATTGAAGTTTAAATACCAAGTGAATTTTGTCCAATTTTGATCCAACTGACTTTCTTCGTCCTCCGGATTTACCTCCTGAATCAGCAATAGGTTTAGGGACAGTCACAGAGAAAAGCGTCTCCAGCTCAGATACATCAAATTCTGGTGCACTAGGAAGAAAATAGAAACTTGGTTATTACAAAGGATCCAAGTGCTACAGTCTCAAGGAACATACTGCACCAAGGCTAAAGTACATTACTCGAGTGTGTAAATATCACAATCAAATGAAAAGGCAGCTTAAATTCTTAGGAGAAGTTGTATTACCTTTCAGAATCTCCACATCTTTGCAATTCTTCCCATAAGCTCCCTTTTGGTACCCGAGTTACCTTGCTCCAATGCAGAGGTTTCAATGATGATCGTTGAGGCACTTTAGCAGCCACCCCTGTGCTCCGCGAGAACCCACGTCCCCTCATTACTATAGATGATGTTTTCACATCAGTTGAAGAACTTACTCCTTTAGCTCCTAGGTGTGGAGACATACCTCCTGGAGATCTGGAAGAAGGAACCAGTGCAAGAGGACCAGTAGTAGGTTGAGGAGGTGATGGTGCTTCACAAATTGGAGATGGCAGGGAAGATGATACAACACATGTTGTTGGAGATGTTAAAGCCTGTCGCCCTTGGGTTAAATGTGCAGAAGCTGTCCTCTGAAATGGAGGAGGTGGGGGAGGGGGTGGTGGCAGAGCTCTAGCATTTGTTAGGCGTGGAGAAAGCAGAGCTCCATGTGAAGCCGGTGGCCGTATGGGAGATAATTGCGGTAGAGCTCCAGGTATGGGAGGTGGAGGCGGAGGTGGTGGAGCACTATGCTTAGGTGTATTTCCACACACTAATGATGAACTTTTAGGTGCCAAGTGATTGGAAGGTGGAGGAGGTGGTGGTGGCGGAGGTGGTGGAGCACTATGCTTAGGTGTATTTCCACACACTAATGATGAACTTTTAGGTGCCAAGTGATTGGAAGGTGGAGGAGGTGGTGGTGGTGGAGGTGGAGGAGGAGATCTTGCATTTATGTGAAAATATGAAGAGGGTGACAAAGAAACTTTAGGAGATGATACATGCAAGAAAGATGTGTTAGCCTGAAGAGCTGGTGGAAGAGTATTTGGTTTTGCCTGTTTTACAAGAAAGTCCCGTTTTTCAGGCTGTTTGGGCTTCTGTTTAAGCCTCCACGCATCAGCTTCCATCATTTTTGAAGGATGCTTTAACTCAACGTGTGGATTAGCAGTATCTTCCCCATACCCTTTATGCTCCACCCCTTCCAACATGTCATAAGCATCGTCTATCAGTTCCTTGATCCCTGTACGTCTCAGTACATTACCAGAAAATAATAAAGAATTTGTCTTGTTATCTCCATAATTCACAACAATGTCCTTCACGGCATGAAGACCAGAGTCCATTTTTTCATCTGTTTTGAAAGTCACATCATCAACAGTGATGCCCTTCACTGCTTCAACGTTACAATCCATCTTCTTGTCAAAGTCATGACTCCCTCCAAATGATTTACAGCGTTGGAATGTAGGCGGGTCTGCATCTTCCTTCAACACTACTTGATTGTCTATAACATTCGTTTCATTCGCATGTACCATTTGAACATCATAATCCCTCATTACTTCCTGCACGTCAACAGAATTGCTAAATATTTCTTCCACTTCGAAAAACTCCTCAGTCGAATTGCTTTCGATTTCGATTTTGTCATCACTTTTTGCTGCTGAGGTGAGGTTTGGCACAATATGTTCAGCATTCAGAAAATGTACCTGACATATGAGTATTCCTTCAATTTTGAAGGCTTCAAAGGAAAAACTATGAACAGAAAAGAAACAACAGCCTACCTCTACTCTAAAATTTTTAGGAAACTTCTCCTTGGCATCCCATAAAACATCAACCTCATCACGATTGATCTTCAAACTGTTTGAATGCACAAACGCTGTGTGAAACATAACTCTAAACATCACTTCCTCGTGTATTAGATCTCCATCTAAATGGATGCATTCAAGAACAACATCGCCTTGAACATGACAACGAACATCCATTTTTACCACTCTGCTTGCAGCCTGCAATGGAAGAGGGCTCTCAAATATTTGCCAAATTCTTGTCATTGCAAATTTGTTGATTTAGATTTTACCTGTAGATACTGGAAACCATTTCTTTCCATCTTTGCACTGGAAAAAAAAAGTTTAGGACATCTGTTTCCTGGTGTTAAAGGGTCTGGACCGTAAATGCGTATGATAGGCCTGCACCCTTTTCCTCCATCAAGCATAGGAAGCTCTCGAAATATCAGACAGTCTAAAATTAGAGGTGTATCAGGTATAGGCCAATAAGAACCTAGATTTCTCCAAGAAATATAGTGAAGGTATCTCATTTGAGAAGGCTGTGAGTTTACTGGAGAAAGGACATGGAGAAGTTCTGTAGGAGCTTGCCTGTAGACCATTTCAAGGGTCTTCTGCTCCCCCTCATATTGTTTACAGTACAATAAGAGAGTTGAAAGCATGAAAGCAAGGATTGGCCATCCTCCTGGTTCACAGTTCATCAACAATACATTTTTTTGTCTCTCCAATGAAAACCAGCTTTCACTCGACCGAATGAAGTGGTGGATCATCTCCAATGGCAGTAGAGGACACCCTTCATATTGCAGAGGATATTCCATCACTGTCATACCATATTGAGACAGTATGTCCCAAGTTTTAGTTTTCCTCTTTCGTTCACTAAAGTTAAACACCATGAAAGATGCATCAGGAAAGTGGTCTTGCAGCTTTGGTATAATGCTACCCAAATATGCTTTGTACTCATCCTCTTCCAAGACGTAGGTAGAGAAGCAACAATCAAACACTGAAAAAAAAAAATTGAGAACTTTTCTTCACTAGTAGTAACATGGGGTTTTTTTTTTTTTAATAAAAAGACTGTCTTACAACAAAAAGTTCATGCACTACAAAATATTTTTATATATTTAAAAGAAACTTTAGATGAACCGAACCAGGCAACAAAGCAACAATTAACTACTTCAACTTGCTTGTTGTAGATCTTCCCCCATTACCATAGAACCCCTGCAGTAAGGGGCGTTAAAGATACCAGCTACTCAGTCTACTTGGCGTTAGATCCTACATCGGTTGGAGAGGGGAACGAAGTCTTTGTGAGGGTGTGGAAACCTCTCCCTAGCGAACGCGTTTTAAAACCTTGAGGGAAGCCCAAAACGGAAAGCTTAAAGAGGATAATATCTACCAGCGATGGGCTTGAGCTATTACAAATAGTATCAGAACCCAACATAAGACAATATGCTAGTGAGGCCGCTGAGCCTCGAAGGGGGGTGACACCGTGCGATGTGCCAGCGAGGACGTTAGGCCTCGAAGGGGGTGGATTGTGACATCCCACATTGATTGGAGATAGGAACGAGTGGGAGCAAGGAGGCTAGGCCTCAAAGGGGTGGATTGTGAGATTCCCATCGATTGGAGAGGAAAACGAGTGCCAGTGAGAACGCGGGGCACCGAAGGGGTGGATTATGAGATTCCATATCGGTTGAAGAGGGGAATAAAGCATTTATAAGGTGTGTAAACTTCTCCATAGCAAACACGTTTTTTTAAAAACCTTAGAGAAGCTTGAAAGGTAAAATCGAAAATGATAGCACACAGCAATAGTGAGCGTGTACATGGAAATGGAGAAGAAAAAACCAGTTAGGAATATGAGTATGTCAGACCACTCTAACCATACTCAAACGTGCACCAAAGTAAAGAACAGAGGTCAATTAAACAAACTTTAGGACACGATGCAAGCAGGAAGTAACAAAGACTGTTTTCATCATTCGCAGTCGCTCTTACAGAGATCAATAAAGAAATTAAAAGGAGATCATACCGTACACTCTCTCCGCAATCTCGAGAAGCCGATCTGGAGGCTTCCGGTAGAATATTTTTCTAAACAGCGCCATCAGATGGCGCTGTTCCTCCCCCAGTCCGGTCCAAATCTACGTCACCAGAAAAACAGGGGAAATACACCAACAAACAGCAACCTCAGTACTAGCAGAAACCGAAGAAATAAAAGAAACCCAACACCCAAAATGTCAAAGTTGAATCGAAAATTCACCAAATACCAAAGAAGAATCGAAAGGGAAAGAAGAAGAAGCAAGAAACAGAGTACTACGGAGCCTTATTTGACAACAAACTCAGCAAATGCGATGAAAACAGAGCAGAAAACAGCTTGAGATTAACAAAAAGCTCAAAGGTACTCAACAGAGAATGAAAATGGAGAATGAACACAAAATCATAGAAGAAAGAGCAAAGAGAGAATGTAGGAGCAAAGGACTCGACGAAAGGATAAACTAACAGAGTGAGAGAGAAATGGGTTAAAGAAAAAGAGAAATGTGAAGAAAATAGAAGAAAGCTTCAGAACAGAGAGAGAGAAGGAAGAGAAGTGGAGCTGGAAAAAGGAGAGCAGAGAAAGCAGAGCTTTATATGCGGTCTGCTCTTCTCCACTTGACTTTCCTGCAACGTCAACATTTTCCCCCAACGACGGGGGGAGAGAGAGAGAGAGAGAGACTCCGCTCTGCTACGTGGCGTACACGTGGCACCTAGTTTTCATTTTATTTAACGACTTCCTTTTAATAATTTATATATTTTTATCCTAATCAATAATATGTCATCCCATTAAATAGTATTTTACTTAATAATTTCAGTTTTAAAATTACAAGTCAAGTAGTTGAATAATTAAGTTAATAGAATAAAATAAAAAAATCAAAGATTTTCATTCCTTTTTGTAAAATATAAAATATAAAAGAAAACTAATGCATAGATCTTACCTTTAAAAACATGGGGGCTGAATAAATAAAAATCATATTCTAATGTAACCTTTATAAAGTATTAGTAAAATATTAGTATGACTTGGAAACTTTTAAAGACCGATGTCTACCTCACGTGTAGTGCACGTGAATCATACCTCATAAGATTAGTGGATAAGTTCGGAATAATTCCAAAATCATCACCGTTTAGTATATTTTTCTTTTCATAATTAATGTACACATTTAGATTTCTATGATAATTTCAAATTCATTCATATTTTTAATTCATTATATTATTATTAAATTGAATATAAAAAGTAAACTTTTAATTAACAAATTTAAAGAAATTCTTAAAATTATAAATTTAGTACTCAACTTTGAGATTAGCGTATAGTTTAATGAATAAAGATTGATGATTCGATTTTTACCTCTACAGTTATTCGCGTAGGGACGAATATGTATTCTTGCGGACCCCACAAGAAAATCATATGAAATCACCTCGATGGACATGATTGGTGCCAAAAAGAAATGGACAAAGAAGAAAAGTAATTGTGTGCTCGAGTATTGAATCAGGCTTTCTCACTTTTGGGCTAAGCATGCCTTCAAAACTTTTCTAGTAAACGAACCATATCTAGTAAACGAATTTGGCAAACGAGATTGAGAGAGGAATTGAAGCTTGTAATAAGGATGTATGCTAGTTACCAAAGGAGACGAGGACAAAGGAAGAGGCAAATCATGTGTGGCTTAAGCTTTGCTTGGCCTTTTAACATCTTTTCTACATTATCAATTCAATTATGGAGCCCTCAAGTTCATGCCCCCATCTTCACCCAGCAGGATCTATCTCGTTCCATGACCCAAATGGTTCGCTTGTACATTCTGAATGTCCTCTCCCTTTTGTCCTTGGCTTCCAATCAATTGGATTACAAAACAACACGTTTATGATTTGATTTACGATCTGATTTTCATTCGACTTCTTTCCCATGTGCGTATTAGATGTCTTAATTCCTTATCTATCTGAACGATTCTATGAAGACAGTGATTTGTTAACAAAATTGTCAGACAGACAGACAGAGATAGTAGATATTGTCCTCTATGGACGTTCCCTTCAAATACTTTCCCGTGTCTACTAAGGAGAGGTTTCCACATCCTTGTAAGAAATGTTTTGTTCTTCTCTCCAACCGATGTGAGATCTCACAATCCACCCCCTCTTGGGGGTCCAACGTCCTCACTAGCATATCACCCAATGTTTAGCTCTGTACCATTTATAGCAGTCCAAGTCTACCGTTAGCCGATATTGTCCTCTTTGGACTTTCCCTTCAAAGACTTCCTCTCAAGACTTTAAAACGCGTCTGTTAAAGGAGAAGTTTCTACACCCTTATAAGAAATGCATGTTCTCCTCTCTAATCGACGTGAGATCTCACTTTTCTTTTCATTGAAGCGAGGGAATCAAACAGCCAGTTTAGGAATCAGGAACATTTACAATAATACTTTCTCATCATATATCAGTACTAGTCTATACATTACAACATTGGAGGAAAGAATAATAAAAAAAAAAATGGCAGTTTGGAAGGAAATCGACAAGTTTGATCATCCAAACGTTTCGGCTTTCTTGAAGACATTCCGACGTGTGTATATCTGTTGTTTGTGTTGAACAGCGATGTCCTAACTTCCTTGGTTATGAACTTATTGCTGTGAAATCTTCAGCAATCAATAGTTTATTGGGTGAATGCCCAGTTCTCAAAATTTTCCAACTGATTGGCAATCAATTCTTACCTACAAATTACAAGCCCACAAGAGAAAATGTGAGCACAGATGATTCTAACATGAAGAACATAGCGACTGCAGACAGGAAGACAAACGAGCTCGCAACAAAGGTGCTGTGAGCTTCTAGTTGTCTGACAGGGAAGTTCTACCTTGGCTTTAAAACCATGTGGTAAACATATCAGAAGAAAGATGCTGACATTGAGGTGCAAATTTCAAAAGGAAAGAAACATCTGTACCATCAGAGCATGCGTTACAATACCTCGTTGAAACCATGATCTTCGAACTGTCTGTCGGATATGCCTCTCGTGTCTGTCTAGCAGTTCATCCACTCTGCTAGATTGAGATAACAAGGGCCCAGAATATTCAACTTTGTCCACTTGGTCCTGATAACTCTGTCACAAGATCAAATCATGGAGGTTTAGGCCGTGGAACAACCCTTCCAATATTGTAAAACAATGGCACACATCAAAGGGCTGGCGTTAATGATCTTAAACTCACCAGATTATTCCTCTTAGCTCCCAGTTCATCTCGCAAAGAAAGTGCCACTGCAAAGTCCTGGGAGTGGTACTCATCCGAAGTATCAAAGGAATCAGGACGCTCAAACTTGCCCCACTGATTCCTTATCACAACCTTGGATCTCTCACTTGATTCAGGACCCTTGGAACTTGAGCGGCTCATGGATAACATGTCTACATTTTCATGAAACTTGGACTCCAAATTGCTTCTTGATGTAGCAGAATGGTCCAGCCCATTAATTAGTTCTCCTCGTGAAATTGATCTGGAATAACATTGAATAGAGGCATCGTCTCTTCGTCGTCTTGCCCACGCAAAGCCACTCGATGTCGAAACTTGTAGAGGGCCAGAGAAGGGAATGTCTCCTTGAGATGCATTCGTTTCATGTATAGTGTCTTCCAGTTTATCAATGGACAGCTTTTGCGCCTGGCCAGCTTTAGTAACCTTTTCTTCTTTTAGATCTTGTGCATTAATACTAATTGTATGCAGAGCTCGAGCTGAGACTGATGAGTCCTGTACAACATTTTAAGCAGACGAATGAGAACCTTCCTTGCAATGTGATCGACACTAATAGTAAAATTGTAAAGCCCGTGTCTGCCTCCTTTGCATGCTTTTCATAGGTTTGTTTCTAAAAAAGAAAAAGAAGAAGAAGAAGAAATACCTCTGCTGGTGCCAATTTATTGGTTCCATGATGATTTCGCATTAACCTTCTGTTATCTAGTCCACGGGCTCTTCCACTATGTTTTTTCCTGAAAGTTTCAAATGCTATTGATTTTAGATCATGAAGAACAACACAAATAACAGTAATAAGCAGAAGAAGAAACTGGATTTGGACCCAACTTTTTAAGTTTGGTTACTTACAAAGCCTTTACAATCCCATTGTAACATACATTTTCTAACAGTCCAAGTCCATTGTTAGTCTATTTTGACCTATCGTCGTTAACCACACGATTTTAAAACGCGTCTGTTAGAGAGAGGTTTCCACACACTTATAAAGAACATTCTGTTCTCCTCTCCAACCGATGTGGGATCTCACAATCCACCCCCCTTGGGGGCTAGCGTTCTTGCTGGCACACCTCCTAGTGTCTGACTCTGATTCCATTTGTAACAGCCCAAACCCGCTGGTAGTAGATATTGTCCTTTTCGGGCTTTCCCTTCTGGACTTCCTAAACGCGTAATAGGGAAGCCCATAAGGGAAAGCACAAAAACCTTGAGAGGAAGCCAGAAAAGAAAAGCCCAAAGAGAACAGTATCTAGATGAGTACCGGTTCCGTTGTGTAACTCAGAAAGACGTGATTTAAAACCTTGAGGGGAAGCCCAGATGGGAAAGTCCGAAGAGGACAATATTTACTAGTGGTGGGCTTGGGTTGTTACATAGACATCCAAGTTGAAAAATTTTCGCGCTGATGGAGATAGACAACAGTCCAACACATGTAACCTCCTATCTATAGACAACTATTAAGTCTCATCTTTTTGTATCCTCTTTAAGTTTCAGATTCTTTTATGTTAGAAAGATGAGAGAAACCAACCTTTTCGTCTCCTCTCTTTGTTTTGCATCAATCTCTTTGCTAGGTGGATAAATTGGCAAGCTTGATGGATCACATGCATACGGTTTTGTACTGAAATACTGAAAGGAGCCATAAGGATATAGTATTAGAAAATTCATTGAACAAACTGATTACTTGGTCCTAATATCCATAAAGTAATCAGCATTATTACCGCAGATGTGAGAGCAGAGGAGGCAACTCCACGCTTGTATGGTTCCACGGAAAGAAGCGTTTCTAGCAAGTTCACAGTCGTCGAAGGATAATCTTTGAATGTCTGGCGCAAGCAATTATTATATGGATGTTGTGGCTTGAACAAAGTGGCATGAGGAAGTTTAGACTTTTTCCAGTACTCATCAGGAGGAGAGCCGCAAAGCTTGAAGATCTTGTGTAGCTGTTCGACCTATTAGTTGCAAACGTAAAGTCAGTATCACCTTTGGAAAATATAACATATTTGGTAAGAACTGCATGACGCATGAAGGAAGACATTTCAGTCCACTAACATCATCATTCACAATTATTCACCATAATATAGAATCGTTCATATTAAAACACTAATGTAAAACATTGAATCATTAAAGAGATCAAATGTAACAGCCCACCGCTAGAAGATATTTTTCTATGGGCTTTCCCTCAAAGTTTTTAAAACTCGTCTATAGAAAGAAGTTTCCACACTCTTATAAACAATGTTTCATTCTCCTTCCCAACCGATGTGGGATCTCACAATCCACCCCCTTCAAGGCCCAGCATCCTTGCTGGCACACCACCTGGTGTCCACCTCCTTTCGAGGTTTAGCCTCCTCGCTG